ACCTATAATGCACTGAACGATTGGACAAAATTAACTCAATAGTATAATAAGGTATCAATATTGCAAAGGTTCACTAGAAGCTTAAACAGTGAACGATTATACAAAAGTATATTTATATAAGGTACGTTTCAAGATGGCAATTGTATGATGCTAAAAAAACTAGATCTGTGAATAATAGATGATTGCAACAATGACTAGGTATATATCATAAGAGATAGCTGAGGTTTCAGATTGCTTACCTGTACTCGCAGAGATATATCATCTTTTTAAAATCAAACCTTTTAACCCTTTTTTTGTATAGATATTTATATATTTTTATTTTGTTAGTTTATTATTTATGCAAAGGTGAACAAAAATTATTTTATTGTGGCTTGGAAATATTTTTATTTACGCTATAATGTAACATAAATATATGACAATTTATTAGAAGAGGATAAATTATATTTTTATGATGATGATGATTTTACTTTTACACAACATATTGAATAAAAAAGAGATTGACCTACTTGTTTAACTTAGTGCAGGGCATAGTGGTGCATTCGTTTGCAAAATTGTTTCAATTCGTATTTTTTTTTAAATGTCCGGAAGGCTTTCATGATTATAAAAGTGTAAGATGACACTCGATATCTGTTGATGTTATTGTTTAAACAACGAAAAATTAATTAAGCCAGAAAAAATGCATTTTTTGCAATGAATTATTTTTTTTATATTCTTTAGGATATTTCGAATAAAAAAAGTTCCTACGCCCATCATCGTATCTTTAACCCTTTAATTGTTATGAATGTATTAAAATCCGAAATTGACGAAAATTCTAATTTTCTTGAATTAAATAATATACCTTAAAATTTAAAATGCTATAATTTTAAATTTTTTACCGAATACTCAAACTATAATAAACAAAATAACCTAAATAAATTTTCAAAATGTTGTTTGTTGTTATGTTTTTTTTACGTTATAACAATATGCTTCCTACGCGCGTGTACTTTTAGAGAGAAGTACTTCTATCTCACTTCCAACTTAATGTATAAGATGGGTAAGAGAAAGTCCGATGACGCGCTGAATCAATTTTTTGCTGTTTTTCAGAGGTAATAAGTTTAAAAAAATTATTATTAACATTTTTCATAACTCTTTGTTATATTTGCCGATTAATAGTTTTGTATCATGTGATTTTTTTTACTTTTTTAGATACTTTTGATAACTTTTTTATTTATTAAAGTTAACAGAAACATTTATTTTTAACATTTAACTGAGAAGTAAAATCTTCTTCAACCTTTTTCTTTCAATTCGATAAAAAGGCCAAATGCACTTGTCGTGATCTTTAGATTTCTCTGGTTTTGGTTGTTTTCTGTAATAACCAAATAAAGCCACTGTATTTAAGAAGACCGCTATTACCTGAAAACTTGCAACTGTAAAAAAAATTGTGCAACGAAAGCTTGTACGTGTCAAAAACTAAACATGACGTGTGTGGCATTATGCGGATGTTTAGTTGAATGTTGCCAAAATCAATTTCATGTAAAAACTGGTTAGATGTACCAACTATAATTTTATGTAAAAATTTTCTTAATAAATGAATATTACAATTAAATAATCATAGTGGAAAAGAATTAACAACCATAGAAAAAATTGAATACATATACAGGGTGTTTCCGAACTTGGCGTCCAAATTTATAGGGATGGTAGTTCGCATAATTTGAGAGCGATTGGCAGATTTCATTTTTCTAAAAAAATTATAATAAACAAAATAGAGCAGGTCCTATCCTGAGCGCGTAGCGCAATAGTCCTCAAAAATAGATGTGATTTGCAATTTTGTCGATTCTAAGCGTAGCGCGCGAGTCAAGGCGATCCAATCGCTGTGCAGGACCGTACCTGTTTCTACTTTTTAATTAATTTTTAATTATTTTTATTTTAAATATTTTGCAAAAATGAAATCTGCGAATCGGTCTCAAATTATGCGAACTACCACCCCTACAAATTTGGAGGCCAAGTTCGGAAACACCCTGTATATTGCGTACTCTGTTTTAAAATAAAAATCAGGTGAGTCAACTATGCTCATCGTAACAGGTAGAAATTTCCCTTGAATTACGGCAGGTGTGTTTGTCTTCTTTTATCCTATTGGAAAAAAAGTGAGAAAAATTTATTTTTAAGACAGCTCTTGGCAATGATTTTTTTTGTGGATGGAACATTTTTATTAACTTCAATGAATAAAAAAATAATCGAAAGTATCTAAAAAAGTAAAAAAAAATCACATGATACCCATATTATACATTGAGTTGGAAGTAAGATAGAAGTACTTCTCTCTAAAAGTACACGCGCGTAGGAAGCATATTGTTATAACGTAAAAAAACATAACAACAAATAAAATTTTGAAAATTTATTTAGGTCATTTTGTTTATTATAGTTTGAATATTTGGTAAAAAATTTAAAATTATAGCATTTTAAGGTATATTATTTAATTCAAGAAAATTAGAATTTTCGTCAATTTCGGATTTTAAAACATTCATAACAATTAAAGGGTTAAAGATACGATGATGGGCGTAAGGACTTTTTTTATTCGAAATATCATAAAAAATATAAAAAAATTAATTCATTGCAAAAAATGCATTTTTTCTGGCTTAATTAATTTTTAGTTGTTTAAACAATAACATCAACAGATATCGAGTGTCATCTTACAATTTTTTAATCAGGAAAGCCTTCCGGACATTTAAAAAAAAAATACGAATTAAAACAATTTTGCAAACGAATGCGCCAGTATGCTCTGGTCTAACTATTACTAAAGGAAATTATATAGAAATTAAAAAATATGCTCTAGTTTAAATCGTTGCACTTATTTTTAGATAATTTTGTCTTACTTTGTTGTTTTAAATAAAACCTCCAATGTTAGTGTATTGATTTTTTTTTTACAAATTGTATACTTGATTATAGATTTCCAAGTTAGTATGAAGATTTTATAAAAAAACAACTCATGTTTTTTAGCAAGATATTCTGATGTGCTCGAGGGCATCGTCTGTTACTTTTCTCAAATTTTCTTCTAGTTTTGCACTTGAACTAATGGTTAGATTTCCAGGCACAACAAGCCTGTTGATGAGAATAAACTGCTTGAATCTTATGTTTTTTTTTTAATATAGACGTACCATGTACCTAGCTGTAGTTTCACTTTTTATAAAATTTCAGGTGTTATATTCTTCTTTAGACAAGTCTGTAGTATTTACTTCTGCTTCTAAAATTCCTAGAATGTCATCAGGTACAAAGGAAATCTAAAATATAATATTTTTAAAATATATTATTTTTAGTTCGATTAAGTATATTATTACCCAGAAGTTTGTTACGTGCACATTTTACCTTAGTAATAGTTTAGCATAAAAAGATAAGGACATCTAGGTTATACGTATTTATTTATCGAATACGATAATATTTATTATAATACAATAATACATGCTTCCCTAAAATCACATACCAATACTGGTATTTTATTTTAGGTCTTTATTTATCATTTACTGTAATTATCTACGGAATAATTATTTATCTAATAACTTAGTGGGTTTTTTGTTGAACTGAAATATTACCTAAAACACATACGTTAGCGACGTGCTTAGGAATCTCGATTTATATAGCTGCGATTCACTTGCAGCCCATTGCTGAGACTTTGGCGCCTCCAGTAGCCATCATCAGTTATTACCGCATCCTAATCGATCACCAGTTTGATTGTAGTAAGATTTATAACTTCTCAGTCACAAGTAAGGACTATCTTTTTCTATTTCTCCAGATTTAGAAGTAGTGGCTCGTTTCAATTAATTCCTAAAATAAATATAAACTATAGCAGATAAACTTAAAAAATTAAATATGTAAACCCACCTGTGCGCCTTCTAGTACTAAAAGGGGGACCATAAGATAAATTGTATTGTATCATTAATACCATCAACACATTGGGTCCTATGATTGAACGCTTATGTTATCCATAACGTACATGTTAGGTCGAATTTTAACAGTAAGGAAGCAAGTTTGTATGATGGAAAACTGTTAAATTAGAACATAACAGGCGGAAAATAACAGTAATGTGTTGAAAACCGTTTTTCATCATACGAACTTGCCTAATTACTGTTAAAACTGAGCCTAACATGTACGTTACGGATAACGTAAACGTTCAATCATAGCACCCATCAACAGCTTTAATAACCAGGGTAAATTGTGCATGGGCTAAAAGAGATATTATATCAAATCACAGTTAGATATACTTTTAGTAATCCCTTCACTCTCCGAATCATTAAATTTTAAGAGCCAGCTAAGGAAAAAGGAATTACTGTCACCACTTACATCCTTGGATAGGCCAGTAACGTGGCAACTTAGTTTTGTATATATCTTTCATAAGTATTTATAAGTAAAATGTAACTGGACTTTCAGTTAAATGTTATTCTTCTCGTTTACCGACGTTTATCTACCATTGTTTATTTTTATTGTAGTTAAACCATTTTGTATTTGGGGTTGCCATTTCACAAAAACCGAACCTTTGTGAATTTCTAAAAAAAGTGCTTTTATTTTTATAAACCAAGTTCTTCTGTCGAGCTTCTAAAAAAAGTTCCTTATTTTATAATTTCATAAACCAAGTCGTTCTATCTAGCTTCTAAAAAAGTTATCAGATATTCCCGGACATTCTTATAATTTTATAAACCAGGTCCAGTTCCTTCTGTGGAAAACTTCTGCAAAAATATGATCCAAATATTCTCGAACATTTTGATAAAACAGGCATTGTAATCTAAAACGAAGAAAATGGTACAGAAAATAGTTTTCTATTTTATAGAGGATCCTTACCAATTCTACTCAAATGTTTAAATAATAATTATAAAATAAATTCTGAATTTAAAAAACAACAGAAACATGACATATGACAAGAAAAACTGACAAGTAACAATTGACATAAACGTTCCGCATCGGATTTTGATGTTCACAGTACTTCTCGTGGATACTTTGTAACGGTTAAAACCGTTTTCGTTATTTGACCCAGACCCGTTTTCGTTATTTTGAAACCACCATCTCTACACAAACGTCATTTGTCGTTTATGCCTTGTGTCAAAAAATTTTTACTTGACTATTTTGAAAATTTTGTAAATCTAAGTTAAAATCACCCATGCAAACAGTTTCGTCATGAGTAGGAGCTATCGTGATTGGGCAGTCCTCAAGTTCATTATGAAAAAGATTAGTATTTTGTTCATGTGGCTTATATATCACCACTACCGCAACTGATTTTTTTCAGTGACTATTTTAATCCAAAATCAGGGCCGCCGAGAGCCCCAGGACAATTCTCCAGATCGGGCCCCGCAACAATTTTATAAAAAATTAGTCCTCAAGCAAAACTTTCTCTTCCTCTACTTGAATTTCTCTAAAAAAAAAGGCTTCAAGTAAGAGCTTCCCCCATCTTATGTCGAACTTCTGAAAGTAACAAACACCACCGCTGCCGGGCCCCGGGAATTAGTCCCGGCTGCCCCCCCCCCTCTAGTCGGCCCTGTCCAAAATTGCTTTCATACATAATTCTGCCGGCATTCTATTACCCCAGAAATTATCTTATTACGAACATATAAACATAACCCTTTCCATCAACATTTTCTATCCGCCCTGTATAAATAGTAGCCATCAAAATTTAAATTATTATCACTAATATTATGATTTAACCATGTTTCACACACTAACAATATGTCTAAAGAATTGTCTAAAATCAATTGTTTAATATTGTATAAAGAAGGCAACAATGATCTCGCGTTAATGAAACCAATATTTAGGAAGTGCATTTTTGAACAGATAATCCGCCCAAGTTTAAACTTCAGAAATAATAAAATAATATATGTCGAAAATAAAATAAATATTCTACAAAGCCAGCCGTTTTTACAACAAAAACTCAACTAAAGATAAGAACTCGACTCGACTAACTGGAATAGCCTGTTTGCAATGCTACATATTCAATCCTATAAAGTCTCAGAATCGGGAGCCATGTGTGTGTGTGTGTGTGTGTGTTTTTGTAAAAATCTTAAATAAAATGGCCATCGAATAGTGAATCTAGCCTTAATGAGATGCATCCTGTTAAGAAGTTTCAAATACATATTTTAATTATATTACTTGAGGGTATCCGATTGCCAAGAGCAAGACAACGATATTCTCCCGTTTTGATAGCTGGGTAAATTGTCCTGTATGATATAGCCCAAAAACAAGGAAGAAGAAGCAAGGAAAAAACCATTAAACATAAATCAAATTAATAATAAAATATAAATAGTATATATAATAGGAGTAAAATGAGAACTTCATGGTTGAGTCCAGGAGCTTGCTCTAGCCTAGGAAAAGCAAACTAAGCGAAACTGCGTTTGTATTTAAATATTTTTTAGGATTTTTTTAACAGAAAAGAAAAATACACTGATAAAATAATTTAATTTTAATAAAAATTGAATATTAATGAAATGTACTTACAGTCAAAATTAAAAATTAAAGGATCACTCACACTAATTCTTATTTTAGTTACTAACCATTATAATTTAATATTTTATTTCTATCATTTTGTTATTCTTTAAATAAAAACTTCCAATTTTGACTTTTATTTTTAATATTCTCGTTATAATACCTACATTTTTTTAACTTTTAAATTGACTGGTATAAGGAAATATCAACAAATAACAGATTTATTTTGGTACAAAACCTTGAACCGAGTATGAACATAATTTAACCATTAAATCTCAATTTATTGTAAGTTTTGTTAACGATATTTTCTAGTTACCGATAATTTGTAATAACATTTTGCTTAAACTAAAATTCATTAAAATTTCGTGTATTGCTAACTTATTGTTGAGAAAAGTAACATTAAATTGGTTTATAGTATCACGAGGTGTTTAAGTAAGAATCATTTTAATTAATATAGGCCGGTAAACTGGGAATACTAAAGCTCATTAAACAAAGCAAATATTGTATATAAAAGTTAAATAGTGGTGGAAGTGGTGCACACACTACTAGTGAAATGTAAGTGTAATTAGTACTTCAGTGTGAAAAATTGAAATTTTGTTCATTAATTATTAGGCTGAGTACTTTCGGCTTACAAAGCTATCATCAAAATTTATTCCACTTACTTTTTATAAAAGGGGAGTAGATAATAATAATAAGTATTAAAAGAGTAACTACTGTATATTTAAAATAAGTACAAAAATAAATGAATCAAATTACTTACATTTTATAAAAGTTATGTTTATATTGTTAAAGTTAAAGTTGTTTATATTTGTTGAATATTCTTTCCAAATACCACGAGAGTTGAAAATTGTTCTGAGAAAATTTTTGTGTTTTCTCAAAAATTATGCAAATTTCACACAACAAAATCGTGAAAATTAGATGCATAGTTTCCAAAGAAACAATAAAACGTTATCAAAAATTCTCACCTCTTATGGTATTCCTTTTGATCATACTCGTAATCGATCCAGTTTCGGGGGCAACATTATTTTACATATGTTTCTTACTTTAATTATTTTTACTTACAATCGGTTAGTAATCTGTGAGTTTGTACCTTTCTAACCAGTCGCGACTTATTCCTTACAAGAGAAGGTCTGTATCTACTTGTGCAAGACCAGGCTACGAATTGTAACAAGGATCCTTAGCGGGCACTGCCGATTCAAAGGACACCTTAGTAAACTGATAGTAGTAGAAGATAGTGAGTGACGAGGAGAACGAAACCTCTATTCACATTCTAATTGAATATGTGGCACTGCAGGATTCAGGAGCATACCAAATAAAAGAGGGCGATCTACTTAACTTGAAAGACACTCCAAATCTTACACTTTCTTGAGAAGATAGGATTGGAAGGGTCGTTATAGACATCAAGACATCTCCTTGCTGTAGTAGCAAAACAACATAAAATAGGTTGGAACTGTAACAACCAACTAGCCTAAAGACCCATTTGTAACGCCTGCTAGGTCTTTAACTACTGTTGTCAATATACTATTAAAGGATGAAGGCAACACTGTAACCAGTCAAATCGTCCTGGAGTCCAAAAGGGACATCCATTCACCAGTGGCAAATAAAAATAATAAAACAATAAAATTAAAACAAATAAAATAATCCCTTAATAGCATAGTCAATCGGTTCTTGGCAACTAGTTTTAGACTCTTCTAGTCCATGGGGTAGAAACGCCGAGGCTTCACAAAAGGAGAGGAAATAATAATGTTAAAACAGTAACATATGTTTATTTAAAATAAGTACAAAATAACTAATATTCTCAAGAATAAATTGTTAGAAATATTCAATAATAAGGTTTTCACAATTAATACATCTTTGTTTGATATCTATCGCTCCTTAATCTATATTTTTGTGACATGTGTCACTTATGTCACTTGTAAAAATGTCAAGTAAGTTAGTTGAAAATTTGACTCACGTTTTTATAATTAAATTCTGCTAATAGAAAGTTGTAATAATTTACGTGTCTTATTACCCAGCACTCTACGAGATATAGAAAAATAATATCTCTAACATAAATGAATCAAATTATATTTAGGGAATAAAGGACTATTTGATAATATTGTTACACTACACCTTGCAGTAGCCTGCGGCTATTATAAGAAACGTACAGATAGAAAAAGAAGTGGAATGTTACTTATCGTCCTACAGTGTGCAGATAGAATATTCCCGAAATGTCTGGAAATGTCATTACCCATCAAGAATGTTCTAGATGACAGTTTTCTGTCGTCTGTCGTTTGTCGTCTGTCTTCTCTCTTCTTTCCTTTGTCGTCTGTCGTCTTAACAGTTACGGATTGGCTACTGTACATCTCTAAATTCCAGCGATACACTGAAACCACCTAGATAAATTATAACCGAACTTCGATTTTCGTTCAAGAGCGACTCAGCCAAGTACGAATCAACTAAGATCGGTTTACAAATATCAGGGGCTCGAATCTCGAGATCATTGGAAAATTTTCCCATGGGAAAATATTCCACTACTTATATTCCCATGGTAATAGGTTATGCAATTCAGTAGTTTCACGTATGTCTGATATTTAGGTCCAAGAATATTTCGAAACAACCAATAACATTAGAGATATTTTAAAATTTACTGTTGACATTATTTGTATTTGTTGTGGTTTTAGGGTATCCGATTACCTGCCGTACGCGCTGGAGAGGTGCCGTGCCGAGCAATCGTTATCATGATCGAGGAACAAGTGAAAATATTCGATTACGTATAATAATTAAAACTTGTCGAGTTATTCTTAGTTTTTTTTTCTCATGTTGAAAAAAGAAAAGGTAGCTTTTGTATGGAAGAGCAACGAAAGTTTTGAGAAAATAAGAAATTCTTTAATTAACGAAAATAATATAATTTTCGAAAAGGTCTTATTAAATTTACTACACTCAATTTGTGTTATTTGCCAGTCCCTTAGCAGCTCCCACAATTTCTAAATGATTTAGGAAAATCAGTTTATACAGTTTCTTAGTGAAAGAGAATTAAAAATAATATACCTACATAAATAAAATAATATCAATCTATAAATACGCCAAAAAAATGTTTTAACTACAATTTCACTAAAAATCCAAGATATCCAATAATCTTTGGTTATGTCTTAGACTTTCGCGTGGTCTTTCGTCAAATTTTCGACTTTAATGCGCAAACTCTAGTACAATTCCTATTGGAAAACACAATTTCCAATGCTCGTAAGCAGGGGAATATTTTCTCATACTTCTCATTGGAAAATATTCCACCGCTTATGTCGAGAATACGAAAACTGAATTCCCATGGGAAAATTTTATTTTCCCATGGGAATGAAAGTCGAGAATTGACCCCCTGGGGGAAACTCCTATGCGCAAGACTTGGGATATTGTTAAAATCAACAGTTGGATTTGTATATACATTTATAATAAATAAATTTCAAGCTTGTTTTTTTTATCTAAAAACTGTTAGTCAAGTTAAGATTGGTTCATGCAACTCAATTTTTGCTTTATTTGAGCGAATATCACTATTATAATGGCTTCTTACCCGATAATGACTTGCTTGAAAAAATCAACTACGTCCGCCAGATGGCGCTGAAATTCTATCACCGTTTTATAACATAAGAGTGACCGTTCTAAGATTAAGTTTTCTGTAATAAATACGGGCCTAGGTTGATTACAAATGCAACAAAGTTTTTATATTCGTTTAAGCGTGGTCTTTAAAATCTAGTGAAAAAAAAATAGTTTGGTTTTATTGAACTATCGTTTTTAACTAATTAAAAAAAATCGATTAGGTATTTTACCCAGAACTTCCCTCGATATAAAAATTGTAAAAACAGTGAACAGTTCGGGTTGGATCAAGAGGAAACCGAGAAAACCCTTTTTCAATGTTATTGAACGATACTGAATGGCTGCTTTTAAAGTGATACAAACCAAAAGGACGCTTTTTAATATTTACTGTCAAGGGAGACCTTTTTGATTAAGTACGATTCCTTTCAACGCTATTTTGATTTTTTTTTTACCTTTTCTCTGACTTCTAAAATACTCGGATATCAATTTTAGTCAAAATTTCCCGACTTTTAAAAATATTTTTTTTTAAATTGCTCACCCTGTATATATCTAACCGGATGTATAACTGGTTTTGAGCCAGAAAGGAACCTTATTTTTGTAAGATTTTTGTATACAAAATTTGAAGTTTTTCTCTAAAGCCGTTTTTGGACAGACGCCAGATGCCACACGACTGACGCCAAACGACAGACGAAGACAGACAGACCTTCGAAGAGAGACTCATGAAGACTAGAGATAAAGAGGCGAATTGGCATACTCGAAATACGGTTCCAAAAACCTAACGTTAATTGAGCTTTTTTAATTCACCGCAAGGGCGCTGGTGCTAGTAGTACAGTTCAAAATACATAGCTATTTATGGAAATTTTACAAAATTTTGTCAAAATACTAAAAATAAACTTGTTTATTGCCAAATAAAGCACATAATATAATATTGTATTTATTTTTAAATAAGTCTCGCATGTTTTAATTGATAAATTAATAAATTTTATCTATATAAAATGCAAATTAGATAGTTACGACCACATTCGAAAAGATTTCTTAAATGGTGAAATTTGGTAAGTACAACTTTGTGTCTCTTTTTTTTAAATTATACCTAAATATAGTTTTAAGAGCAAAATAAAAGACAGTTAACAGATTTTTTTATTGTTATAATAAAAGCATAAAGGAGATTTGGGAATGTACATGATATTAACTGATCCTTTAATTTCGGCTTTCCACTTTTTATTTTGCTAACAGTATCATCAGCAAAAAGAGTCTTATAATATTTTGATATATCTTATAAAAAGTGTAGAACAGCATTATCCCTAAAAAGTGGTTTATCGGTCTTAGGAATCAGGGCCCCCGAGAGCCAAGTCGGGCCCCGGGACAATTTTCAAGGTCGGCCAAAAATTAATCTCTTTTAACATTGCTTTTCTAAAGCTAAAAAAAGATTTCCTCTCCTCTTTAGTGAAATCTCTAAAAAAAGTCTTCAAGCAAAAAACTTCCCCTCTTTTGTGAGAAAAAAAAAACGTCGAAGCTGCCGGGCTCCCGAGCCTGGGCCCTGGGAATTTGTCCCGGCTACCCCCCCACTCTCGTCGGCCACTGTTCTAAGCAGCTAGCATCCTATAATAAAAAAAACATTTATAATGACACAATTGGGGTACGACCAAAAAAAAAATGTTTATCTAACATTAAAACTCTATAAAAAACAAATTATCTTCTCTAGTAAGTCAAATTTAATGTATAATTATTGTTTGTAAGTTTGTAAGTCAGGATCTATGATTATACAATTTTATTTTATAGAAACTTGTAATAAAATAAACTACACTCCGTGATACGTATTGTGACTAGTTTACAATAAATATTATATTTAGATATAAATACATTATTTTACTTACATTAGAAGCTTTAAAAATTTAGAAATTGAATTGATTTCTCCTTGTGTTTTCTTTAATTTTACATCTGATTTGTATCCCGTTTTACAATCTGGAACGAAATAAATCTTGCTCTGATGGTTTTTGTCACTCTTGTTACATGTCACATTATTTTGTTTCACCTATTAAAAAAAAAAACACTTCATTTTACATTGACTTACATAGAAAATTGACAGAATTACTCTTCAACATGCCAATTACAGTCAATTTCAAAACTTTATAAAAAGAAGTACGGATATTTGAAATTTGACCATTGCCGATTCGCCTCCTTCTCTCTAGTCTTCATAGACAGGCCACCGGAATGTGGAAATGTTTTTCGTATTCTCGGGATCCTGAAACGAGAAAATTTTAAATAATCCCGGACGCTGACTCTTTTACGATTACAATGCTTCCCTCCTAAGCCAACAAGCGGTATCTAAAGAAAACAACTTTTATATTTTTAACGCATCGGATAGCTTGAAAAATTCCGCATCAGATGATCTAAGAAAAATAGCAAAATCTCACCCAGAACATTAAAAAAAAATTCTAAGACCTATTTAGATGACTCCACTTCACTTGAATTTACTAAAAGTCTTAGGGATATATACCATTATTACTAAGCTAAATGACAGCATATTCCAGAGATAACAGGAGATGTAATTATAAACAAATATCGTGCTGTCGTGAATAAGATATATTCAAAGGGACAAATAAGGGTATATTATCCGCAGTTTTCATGTCTGTTTCAATACTCTCGTTTTATTTAAAAGATTATTTACACATCTTGTAATATGATCTTGTTATTTTATCTATTTTTATAGTGTTTTAAGCTCTATGATTTTGGGGAGTGGGTCAGGTTATTAAACAACTCGTATTACTTTGAAAAAGAATGTTGAGCGCCACTATATTTAAAACTGTCTAAACTTGTTAATCGATTAGTGATGAAAATATAGAAAATCACTAACCATTAAAATATTATAATTAAATAAAGTAGCGACAAATTCTAATTCACATAGACTTACTTATTCAAATTTAAATGATTTATTAAAACTTATCTGTGGTATAACAGGTAGCAGGTACAGGGGATTCGTATGATAGGCTTGGATATCACCAACTGATAAATCTTCATAGGTAAAGTTAAATCTCGTACACTTCTTTGGATGGCTCGAACTAAACCTCTTGAAATACTTGAAATAACCTCTGTAGCTGGAACCAAACTTCTAAGTTTCAATATTTCTACACATGCAGCTGGAACGTTCTTCCTAACAATCTTTTTCGATAAACTTCTATAAAACCATCGATATAACTTCTATAGAAACTCTACTGAACCATCTAGATACAACTTCTATTTAACCATCTATATACAGCCAGGCTTTATAAAATCAGACGGTCATTAAAAATATTAAAGACAATTAATATATCGGATGTACAAGATAAAAGATAATTAAAATTCAATAATTCAACTTGCTCGATGACAGCTATATATCGAAATCAATTCCCAACATAAGACATAAGGCATAAACGACAAATGACATTTGTGTAGAGATGTTGGTGTCAAAATAACGAAAACAGTTACAACCGTTACAATCTTTAAAAAGCTAAAATAATTCAACCTATTTTATTGCATCTGAACCCAAAAAAAATTGAATCATTAGTTATATAAAACTTATACCAGAGTCATAAGGCCGATGATAACCTACGGGTCGGTGGTATGGTGGCCAAAGACAAGGCAAGCTGGAGCCATTCGACAGCTCAATGGTATGCAAAGGCAAGCATGCCTGAGTACCACGGGAGCTATGAGAACGACTCCAACAGCAGCTATAGAAGTCATGCTAAACCTAACACCACTACATATATTCATTCAAGGCGAAGCCAGGTCTGTCACATACAGACTGCACAAAGGTTCATCGCCCATAAGCAGTTTGCATGGACGCGACTACAGCGAGCTATATAAAGAGTTGGAGAACGACCAAATAATGGGAATGCCTTCAGACGAAATAGCTTTCAAAAGCAATATAAAGTAAGTATACCAGACAGGGAAGCGTGGACGGGAGGACCTCCTATTCATGCAGATCTCACCTGGTATACAGACGGCTCCAAAACCCATGAAGGTTCAGGAGTAGGTATATATAGTACCAAGCCAAAGACAGGAATCTCACTGAGCTTAGGTAAACATGCGACAGTATTCCAGGCAGAAATAGCAGCAATACATCACTGCGCAAAAGAAGTATTAAGACAGAAGGTAAATGGAAAAACCATTGTCATATACTCAGACAGTCAAGCTACGTTAAAAGCACTCAGTTCCATGCAGGTACACTCAAAGCTTGTGTGGGACTGTTTGGAAGCCCTAACAGAGCTGGGTAGTCAAAACAGACTAACCTTAGCCTGGGTACCAGGCCACAGGGGACACAAAGGCAATAAAGAGGCTGATTTACTAGTCCGAGAAGGAGCATCAAATGCTCTTATTGGCCCAGAACCCTTCTGTGGTGTAACAAAAACAACTATCAGAACATGCACAAAGCAGTGGATGTTTAAAAAATCTTAGGAGTGGTGGGAAAACTCACCAGGACAGAGACAGGCCAAAAAGTTCTTAAAAGGACCATCGTCTAAACTCACCGAGCATCTACTAAGCCTTAATGGGAAAAATACTAGAATACTAGTAGGTCTATTAACAGGGCATTATAGGCTTATCAAACATATGTTCAATATCGGTCTGACAGAAGAGGCCTTGTGCCGATTCTGTCAAGAAGAAGAGGAAACGGCAGAACACGTATTGTGCTACTGCGAAGGTCTAGTAAGACTGAGATTCCTTACACTTGGAGAAGAAAAACCAAGGGCAACTAGCTATACCGGAGAACTACTTTCCAGTCTATGGAGTCTACTACAAAAGACCGCGTTAGACAAGGTACTCTAAACAATGATTAAAGGATATCCACAATAGATCTGAAAAGGTCGAGGTGGGGGAGGCCACATGGCCCATAGTCCTAATTAAATCTAATCTAATCTATATAAAACTTAACTAAATAAGTTGTAATTTGACTAGATTATTAGATGTAATAATTTTCAATAAATTCCAAAACTTAGTTAATGTTTAGTTGAATATCAAGTATTTTGTACTAGATGTGGCAACAGGGCTTGAATTCTGTACGTTGTTAATTATCGGCGTGTACAACGTCTCACACATATATTCATTGATAAAATTTTTGTAGGGCCGTCAAATCCTTCAGTTTATCTCTTCCCTTACCTCACACCACATGTCTCTTCACTCCTGATCTACAACTGGAACGTATGGACTGTGGTCTATATATCCTGTTTATCTTTGGCATATCCATATGCAACTACTAAAAAATTTAAAAAGTAATATTCCAAAACAAGAAATGATTTAAAGTAAAATATTTTTTCGACTTAAGGGACCACGAAGACAACTTTTAGAAAATGTGTTTTTTCTCGAAAAGCGCTTCAACTGAGATACCTACCGCTTTTTATAGTTTAGCTAAAATATTGTTAATAACAATCTTCAACAAATAATCAATTGATATATTTAACGAATTAATAAGAAACATTTTTTTTTCTGTAATACTGTACGTAGTTTTTCACTTAGGGTGCGTTGAGGTAGATAAAAGCTAGATACCTCGGACTTTTTTTTTTTTTTGGCTTGGGCACTTGCCATTCAACCAGTCGCGGAATATATTATATAAGTTTAAATTGCATTTTCACTCTAAATACATACATACATTCAATCATACACACTTATATACTTTTGTCCTAAGCAAGAAAAGAAGAAAAATTTATAACAGAAGATAAGGCAAACAAGGAATAAACAAAGGAAAACATTTCTTCTTGTCTAGGGGCCCGTCAAGACATTTTTTTTTACACACAAAACTAGGCCACGGAAAGGTAGGTATATAACAATTGGGTTAGAACATAGGTTGCAAGACTAATATTAATTACAAACATACTTTACTTTCATACACAAATTTTATCAAGAGGTCGTAAATTTTTGTTTGATTAAGTGAGAGGAGATGGCAAATGTTAAATGGAGGAAATACATTATTTTTAATTAGATCTTGTATCAGATCTTGAGATTGTTGGGTATAGTTTGCACAACTAAAGAAAATATGATTTAGATCGCCTTTCTCTTGACACATAGTACATATCTTCGAATCTATAACATGGATTTTGAATAAATGTGCTGGATAACATGCATGTCCAAATTTCAATCTAATGATAGTTGTTATATACTTTCGAGGAAGTGAATGCACATTCGGAATTTTTCGTTGTATTTTTGAATATTGAGTTGTAGTGGTTTTGCAAAAGTCTTTCCAAGATTTTCTCCAATTTTTCATTTGACGTTGTTTCTCAATTGCAAAAGCATCCAAATTGCACAGCTGATAACTTGTCGGTAAGCCATTGGTAGTTGCGCTTTTAGCCAAAACAGCTACATATTCATTATGTTTGAGCCCTCGGACTTGAAAACTAAACACTCCAAAAAAATAATACACAAACTTAGACTAAAAACCTCACTAAAACTGTTTTTATCAAGGAAACACTTACTCTTGTTATTGTTTCTAACCATTTAAATTCTACGTGATTTGGATTGCCTAATTGTTTTCCCAAGATGATTCATCGGCGGGTCCAGTTTATTCTAGAATAAAACGGTTCACTTCGACTGATGACGACCATGTGCATAGCATATCAGGGGTTTCAGAGGTTGACTTATTCAATCGAATATTCTTAGTAACGAGAAAAATGGAGGCCGTGAAAGGTGCAAAATAGACAGAGAGGAACTTAAGGGTCTAGAGCAGTACAGGACTGGTGGAAAATGGCTCGCATGCCAATATTTTATTACAATAGTCGTTAGAATTAAAATATTTTCCCATTTTATGGAGGTTAAGTTAGTGATAAGTAAGTGATATAGAGAATTAAAGGCCTATCATACCAAAGTTTTTAGAAAGACCTTTGAGTAGTTCTCTATCTTAGTTAGTATTACAGTAATATCATTATTAATCAAAATTATATTCTTTTGAAAATTTAAATCTATTTTTTTTTTTTCAGATTAATCAATTGTTTAATATGGACAACGTACCTTAAATCATATTTTTTGATGTCAAGAAAATAACTGAAATTAATCCAAACCCCTTTAAAAAGATTGAGAACATAAACACTATGTAAATGTTTATATCATGTGGATGAACTATCATTTTAAAACCTGATTATATATAATAAAGATAACAGAATTGAACTTTATCTGATAAGAGAATTAAAAAATACTAAATTTTATATTCTGCGAAAAGGTGCAGTACATTTTCTAATCGATTTGAATTTGTAATAAAAATGTATAACATTTCAAAATTAATATCAACACCTTCTAAAACGAATGAATTTGGTCAGTCTGCTCTACATATTGTATCAAGAATAGGTGATTTAAATTTGTTACATTTGCTTTTAACCAGAGGCGCAAATCCTAATATAATAGATGAATTTGAACAGACACCTTTGTCTATAGCTTGCATTGACATGCCCAATAAGATTATTGTTAAATTGTTACTACAGTACGGTGCAGATGTTAATTTTAAAAGGAAACTACATATGGATTTATTTCTTGGTAAGTATTTCAAAACCTAATAATATTACAATGTACATATTTCTTAGGACCATATTTTTACCGTTAATTTTAATTTGTGATTTAAAAAGTTCAAATACTAACAATGTTTTAAAGATAGGCCATGACCTACAAAAACAGATATACGATACGAGTCATGTCTGTGATAATTACACACATTGACTGATATTTAAAAAAGAAGAACTAAAAACTCCCGACATGATTAACTTTTTTCCACGACCTTCTTTAGAAAGTTTTTTTATATATCTCCATAATCAAATGGAACTAAAGTTGTTTATTTAATCTCGCTACTAGAGTTTGTTGCCATCAGGGGGCCAATTCTCGACTTGTAGGAACCTTTTCCTATAGAAATTTGTGACACTTTCCTATATATAGGAAAATGTCATTAATTTCCGATGTATTAAAATGTCAAAAATTCCTATAGGAAAAAATTCCTACGAGTCGAGAATCGACCACCATATAACTTTAGCCCAAGCAGGGCAATAACTACAAGGAATTAAAATATTTCTATACTGTGGAATTTTGCACAGTTGAAAAATTTTATTATAATATTATTTTTTATTGTAGAAAGTGTCCTAAGTTGCCACACTCAAGAACACCTAGACATTATCAACTTACTAATTGAAAATGGAATAAACATAAATATGACTGATCCATTATCAAATCGTAATTGTATGCATTTTGCCGCTCTAAATGGAAATATGGATTTAGCAGAGTTACTTTTACAAAATGGTGCAATACTGGATATCAGGGACAACTTTGGATTTACACCAATAGATGTAGCAAATAATCATAAAAATTTCGATGTTTTAACAATCTTTATGTCTTTTTTAGCTTTCAATTAATTAATGTTTTATCGTCAACCGTACATTAGCTAAATTATTAATGGCCAAAGAGGTTAGAAAGGGTAGAGGTAACATAGGAAGCATTTGCCACTGCGCAAATTTTGCCAAAACCGAAAAACTGGGTGGAAGGAGTAGGCAGATGTTATGAGCTGGACTTAAATATTTGTATTGTAGTACCTAATTTTGGTAACTAAAGGATAAAAAATTATGAGACGTTCTTTTACTTCATTTGTTAGCACGATTCATTTATGATGAGGGCAATAACACTTTATCAATATAAAGCTAGTAGCTAAGGGCTGATCCCACCGTTAAACGAAGTTAACATTACTAAACAAAGATTAAAATGACATTGTTTATATAAAAATATATAAAAAGTAAATACTACAGACTTGTCTAAAGAAGAATATATAACGCCTGAAATTTTATAAAAAGTGAATCTACAGCTAGGTACATGGCATGTCTATATTGAAAGAAAAAAACATCAGATTTAAGTAGTTCATTATCATCAACAGGCTTGTTGTGCCTGGAACTCTAATCATCAGTTCAAGTACAAACCTAGAAGAAAAATTTAGAGAAATCACAGAAAATACATCAGAATATCTTGCTAAAAAACATGAGTTGTTTTTTATAAAATATGCATACCTAACTTGGAAATCCATAATCAAGCATAAAATTTGTAAAATTCAAAAAAATTTCAATACACTAACTTTGGTTGTTTTATTTAACACAACAAAGTAAGACAAAATTATCTAAAAAAAGCACAATGATTTAAACTTGAGCATATTTTTTAATTTCTATATCATTTCCTTTAATAATAAGTAGTTAAACAAGTAGGTCAATCTCTTTTTTATTCAATATGTTGTGAAAAAGTAAAATCTTTTTACATAAAAATATAATTTATTTTCTTCTAATAAATTGTCATAATATATTTGTTGCATTATAGCATAAATAAAAATATTTCCATGCCACATGTAATTACAATAAAATAATTTTTGTTTACCTTTGCATAAATAATAAACTAGTAAAATAAAAATATATACATATCTATACAAAAACAGTTAAAAGGCTTGATTTAAAAAAGATGATATATCTCTGCGTCTACAGATAAAAATTCAGCTATCTCGTATAATATACAGGGTGTTCCATCTCAGACGAGACACCCCGTATTTGTTATCCCATATTAATTGGAAAAATTTCCCGAAACACGTCGGATGATTTTCTTTGAAAGACATCTTTTGACGCATATTTGAGGCTTGATCAAGCAACCCCCTATGAGGGGGCGCTTCAACCCCTCAAAATTGAATAGGGAAGAGAGGTTGAGTGATACTTCATTTGTAAGATCTTGAAAGCCTTTTTACAACGGTGTATGAAAAAAATCACATTCTTAAAAAAAATAATTGTTTTATCATGCTAACAATCAAAAAAATCAAAACTGAGTTCTTAAATCAAATGTTCAAATTGTCCTCCATTGACTTCCATACAATAATAAATTCTCTCGAACTAAAATATAAAAAAAATAAAAACATTTTCTTATCTTGCCTTCATTTTTTGTTCTTAGAAGGTGTTTATCACGTTTCTTCGATCATTTCATGTATGATAAAACAATTAATTTTTTTAAGAATGTGATTTTTTTCATACACCGTTGTAAAGAGGCTTTTAAGACCTTACAAATGAAGTATCACTCAACCCCTCTTCCCTATTCAATTTTGAGGGGTTGAAGCGTCCCCTCATAGGGGGTTGCTCGTTAAAGCCTCAAATATACGTCAAAAGATGTCCCCCAAATAAAATCATCCGTTGTGTTTCGGGAAATTTTTCCAATTACTATCGGATAAGAAATATACGGGGTGGCTCGTCTGAGATGGAACACCCTGTATATCTAGTCATTGTTGCAATCATCTATTATTCACCCATCTAGTTTTAGCATCATACAATTACCATCTTGAAACGTACCTTGTATAAATATACTTTTGTACAACCGTTCACTGTTTAAGCTTCAAGTGAACCTTTATATTGATACCTTATTATACTAATTTTGTTCAAGCATTCAGTGCTTTATAGGTGTCTTCTATTATCGCTCATGTGTAACTGTGTTTGTGATATACCTACCTCTACTTTTGTGATATTGCTACTTGATTTCAAGAACATTTTAATCATAAATTTATATATTGTTTTATTTGAAATTTCCATGACTCGATTGAGATTTTACTATAACCTCAATTTCAGCCTCTTTGTATTACGTTACACAAAGAACAATATAGTGTGTCCACGGATGGACTTAATTATACTTGTAATAGTATATTACACACCGAGGTGGGAAGAGTTTCATTCCTGTCGTGAGATTAGTTAGATCACCAAGACGCGAAGCGTCGAGGTTAGCTATTTTGTATACTATTTTATTTACAACCATCATATTTCGATCAAAGTTAATAAATCTCTGTTTTGTTCTGAACATACCTAAAATATTACATTTAACGACAAATTACCAAGCGCGCGGTTTTCTCAGAATAATCAAGTCGGTAAATATATTGTTACTATGATTACGGGGTAAACAACTGTCACCAATATAAATAAATGTCAGATAAAGCCGGATATTAAATTCGCGAATAATAAATATCAATAAGTAGTTTGTTATATTTTAGATCATTGTTATTTTTTATTGTTTGCCATTAAATAGGTATTATAAAATTTGTCAAACACTGTGTAGAGATGTGTAATGTGACACTTCCCAATCTTCAATGACGTTAGTAATTACAACATTACATAATATGGTTGTAAATAAAAATATTTATTTTAAATTGAAAAAAGTAATTTTTCATCATTTCTCAATGTGAATCGAATTTTTTTTACAAGTAAAAGAAATTATGAAGAATTACTTTTTTAACTTAAAATAAATATTTTCACAAGTATAGTTAAGTCGATCCGTGGGCACACTGTATAATGCTGTAGAACTAATTCACAATATAACATCTATAAAAAGTTTCAGAGCAACTTTCGGGGTAAGTACCGTAAAAGTGCTAGTGTGATGTTTTCCAAACTTCACTTTGTAACCTCTGTGAGATACACAAAGCACATAGAGGTTCCACGTGAATGACCAAGGTCAAAACCGACAACTGACATTTTTTATGCTATTTGCTCCAAACTCTAGATGGGGCTACTGGTGAAATTATGATTTCTTACTCCATTTTTAAGCTTTATGGGAGAAAAACTTAACCAAAGACTCCAAAGATGTGACGTGTATTTATTTATGTTCTTGTTGGTTAGTCTCATTTTTCCGTCTGATTTTAGTGATTTTTTGTTGGCTTTGGCTTTTGGTTTCTGTTTATAGTTTCGTCTTAATTATTGCAAAATTGTGATGTTTCGCTTTTCTATTTCCTACTGTGTTTTGCAATAATTTTGGTGCTACGTTGAAAACTTCGAGAAACACTTCATTGATTCACCATGCATCTGCATCATGAAAAGACAAACGGGTACAACAACTAATTGATAATCAATTTATCACTGGATTAGATTCCGAAATCATTTTTCACATAAGAGAGTAATACCACGTATTTGGAATGAATAGTTAAAAGGATTTACCTTTTAATACAATACCTATATTACATTTGTCCTCGGTTAAAAAGACATTTATAAAATATATAACTTTAGTGTTAATAAAATGTAATATCCTAGTCTCTACTTCACATTTAAATTATTGATAGGTATTTTAAAGATTTGAGATTATATATCTATTTGCTCCAAGTAAGTATTCGTTAAATATGTATTATTATTTGTATTTATTTTTATCTAATAATATTTATTTAAGTTATTAATAAACATATTTTAAGAATGTTCTATTTTATTATTTATTGATATATCTTATATTTATTTAATAATAATATGCAGAACCAACTCTCCACATCAGACCTCTTATAACAAATTATTTCCTCAAATTTGGTATAATCGACCTAAATTATTTTGTAAAGTTCTCTTTGGTAAGGGGAATATTAACTAATCTATGGATCATACTGTTGTATGCTGCCAGCTTTTGTTTGTATGGATGAGATGAACTATTATTTATTGTAATATCAGTATGTGATGGCTTATGAAATATCCCAAAACTATGGCCTTTATTATTTTTAATAATATTTAAGTCTAAAAAATTAATTGAATTATCCTTCTCTGTTTCCATAGTAAATTTAATATTAGGGTGTATAGTATTGATAAAAACTAATAAAGAATTTAACTGTCTACTAGTACCAGTAAAAGCAGTCAATATATCGTCAACATATCTATGCCAATACAGACAATGTTTACTTAAATTATTGCTATGAATTTTATTTTCTATATTATCCATACAAACAAAAGCTGGCAGCATACAACAGTATGATCCATAGATTAGTTAATATTCCCCTTACCAAAGAGAACTTCACAAAAGAATTAAATATCATTAAAAAAATCGCAATAAATAATAATTTTAATTCAAAGTTAGTAGACAACATTTTAGAGAAAAAACTTTTTAAACAGGGTATTCAACAAGTTTATCCCATAATTAAAGATCAAAATTACATATATAGGAGCTCCTAGTGAAAAGGTATCATCATATTCAAAAAACCAAAATATTAACGTAGCTTTTAAAACCAATAATACGCTTGGGAAGTATATTAAAAACAATAAGGGTAAAATTAATTCTAATAATAAATCGGGGGTATATACATTAAATTGTGGTAGTTGTCCAAAATTGTATATTGGTCAAACAGGCCGTACTTTCAAAAAACGCTATTCTGAACATTATAATAGCTATACAAAAAACAAAAATAATTCTACTTACTCAAATCATATTTTAGCTGAAAATCATTCTTTTACAGACAACTTTGAAATTTTACATATAGAAAATAAGAGCCTTAAATTAAACCATTTAGAAACACTTGAAATTCCATCAATTTTTTTAAGAAGCGGGACCGATACTTTGAAAGATAGAAAGCATGTTACATGTTTAAATAGCTTCTTAGGGTTATCGCTACTATCGATTTATCTTTGTAAGAAATAGTGTCCACATATCTTCTACTAATACGGTACTTCTAAAAAAGTGATTCCAATCAATTTCGGAGAGGACTCTCTTTACGTTATTAAAGTTTGTGACACTGTAGGTTACATCCCTATCGTGATTAGGGATGACAAGATTGTCATGAGAAATAGATGTGTTTGAAAGTACCTCAAAAAGCTGTTGGTCGTTTTCTATAGAAGTTTTCTTTGGAGGACGATATAAACATAGCAGAGTGGCTGAGAAAAATTTGTATGATATTTTTAACGAGATTAAATCTATATTGGGAATATTGATATCTAAGGCGGTGACAGAGTAAGTTGAAGTGATGCCAAAAAATTGTTAACTTTGATATTTCCATAGATGAACTTATCAATGTAGAAACTGATTCTTTTGATCATACACCTGCCAGCAGTAACCCAAATCGTAAGAAGTTTTTGGAAGTTATCAGCAATATACAACAGATCAAGGTAGCGAATCCTTATGTTTCTATGCCTGATTGTTTAAATTGTTATTATTATAAAATTAAAAGTACAAAACATGTATGTTTTGGTTGTTAAAGTTATAATTTGTTTTTAAATAATATTATGTTAATTGTACACCAAATACATCTATGAAATAGTTTTTGTCGAGAAATAAAGTTTCTGGATATTACTAACTGAATGGAAATTCTGAATATAAAAAAACACGACAATTACTTTACCACCCACGGGCGCTTAGAAAGTCCCCGGGCACGAAAGTGGAGTTATAAAATGTTTTATAAAATAATTTATATGGAAATCATTTAAAATTTAATATAAAACTACTACCTACTCCTAAAAATTACAATTTGAATTTACCGCCATCTGTCAATTGTCATTTTAGTTCCAGCTCC